GTAGCTTTCATCGTCTCTAAGTAAGTACTACAAGTAGCCAAATAGTACTTTGAACTTCGAATTGCCTTCGCTGTTATTTCCTTAAATGCAACAAATCGAGTGAAAAACTTGCCAAACTTACGGCGATATGATCTATTTATACGAATTCCATCGTGCGGAAGCAAAAACCGAAATTCGACTGCATTGACCAATCAAAATCAAGACGTCGATTCCGTCGTTGCCAAATTAGCACCGCAGCCTTTACAGTGAAAAGCCAGACCAACCTATTGTTAGTAGGCGACGGCATGACCGAGTTCGGGGAGACGTCCATGGGCGCCCTTGTGTGGGTGCCCCACGCCGCGGAGGTGTGGAAGAAGGCGCAGATCATTCAGAAGGTGTCGGACACGCAAGTGGAAGTGCGGTACGTCGCGGACGGTGCCGAGTACGACCCGGAGGACGGCATCACCAAGACGTTTGATGTGCGGGATATCGCCAAACTGGCCGGCGAAGTGTCGTCGAATGCCATGCCGATCTGTAACACGTTTGAAAAGCTCGGCGTGGAGGACATGTGCACCCTTAACCACTTGCACGAACCTGCTGTGTTGAAGAACCTGCAACTCCGCCACGGACAATTCATCCCATACACGTACACGGGCCAGATCTGCATCGCCGTGAACCCTTACAAATGGCTCAACCTGTACCACAAGGACCTGTATTTGCAGTACTTGAACCAACCGCGCGATGAATTGGCGCCGCACCCGTTTGCCCTGTCGTCGAGAGCGTATCTTGACATGAACGTGCATGGAATTGAACAGAGCATCCTGGTGAGCGGCGAGTCCGGGGCCGGCAAGACCGAAACGGTCAAGATCATGATGAACCACTTGGCGTCCATCTCTGGCGGCGGAGACCACGGGTCGTTGGTGATCGACCAAGTGCTCAAGTCGAACCCGCTCTTGGAAGCGTTCGGGAACGCCAAGACAAAGCGCAACGACAACAGTTCCCGCTTTGGCAAGTTTGCGCAGCTCCAGTTCAACGCGGAAGGGCTCTTGGTCGGCGCTCGATGCGAGACGTACCTGCTCGAGAAGAGTCGCGTGGTGGGCCAAGCCGAGGGCGAGCGCAACTACCACATTTTCTACCAAGTGTTTTCGCTGGCCCAAGAACTGAAGGCCGACTTGTTCCTGGACGGTTCCGTCGCCGACTACAACTTTGTGCAGGTCGGGGCCGGGTCCAAGGTCGACAACACGGACGACTCTGTGTTTCTGCAAGAGACCACGGTCGCGATGGACACGATCGGGATTGACGCCCGCGAACAACGCGGAATCTTTGAGATTGTGAGCTCGATTTTGAACCTCGGCGAAATCCAGTTCCAGGCCGACACAACGGAGAAGTGCTCGGTCGTGACGTTGGACCACGTCGCGTCGGTGGCCAAGTTGCTCCAGACCGAAGTCGAGACGCTTATGAGCGCGCTGACCCACCGCACGATGGCCGCGCGCGACGAAACGTTTACGATTCCGCTGAGCGCGGACCAGGCGGCGGATCTGCGGGACGCGTTTGCCAAAGGGATTTACTCCCAGTTGTTCGACTGGCTGGTCACGCGCATCAACAAGGCCATTTGCAGCACGAATCGAAACGTAAAGCACCACATTGGGCTGCTCGATATTTTCGGGTTCGAGTCGTTTGATCACAACGGGTTTGAGCAGCTCTGCATCAACTACGCGAACGAGAAGCTCCAGCAAAAGTTCAACAGCGACATCTTCAAGACGGTCCAGACCGAGTACATTGCGGAGGGGATTCCGTTGGAGCTAGTGTCGTTCGAGGACAACCAGCCGATCCTGGACTTGATCGAAGGCCGGTCCGGCGTGATCGACTTGTTAAAGGAAACGGGCGTCCTCGCCAAAGGCACGGACCAAATGTTTGTGAGCAAGGTGATTGCGGCGGCAGCCGACCACAAGAACTTTGAAAAGGTCCGGACGAACCCGATGCAGTTCAAGATCTTGCACTACGCGGGCGAAGTCACGTACGACGGCGCCAAGTTTCTCGAAAAGAACAAGGACACGTTGCCGGTCGACTTGTTGGACCTGCTCGCGTCGAGCGAGTCGTCGTTCATTCGGGACGTGTTCCCAGATCTGGCTGTCGCCCCAAAGGATACGAAGAAGCACCACAAGCACCATGGCGGGAAGGCCGCCCCCAAGTCCCGTAAACAGGGCGGCGGGTTCTTGGTTGGGGCCACGATCGCCAACTCGTTCAAGAAACAACTGGGCGAACTGATGGAACAAATCGCCAAGACCACGACGCAGTACGTCCGGTGCATCAAGCCGAACGCGAACAAGAGCGCCACCGAGTTTGACCGACAAATGGTGGTGGACCAGCTGCGATGCGCGGGGGTCATTGCCGCGATCCGGATCAGTCGCGCCGCGTTCCCGAACCGACTGTCGCTGGTCGAATTTGCCCGTCGCTTCGACGTCATTTGTCCCGCCAAGCTCCGCAATGGCGACCCGGTCGTGATGGTCATGGGCCTCTTGGAGAAGCTGCTGGGCGTCACGTCCGACTCGACGCAAAACGCCAAGTTTGCCATCGGCAAGTCCAAAGTGTACTTTAGCTCGGGGCTGTTGCAGCATTTGGAAGACCAGCGCGCCGTTGTCTTGCGGACCCAGGCCACGATCATCCAAGCACACATGCGCGGGTTTGCTAAGCGAAAGCAGTTTTTAGCCAAGAAAGCAGCGGCCATCTTGGCGCAGTCTGTGTTCCGCATGCACTCATCCCAGTGCCGCTTCCGCACTTTGAAGCGAGGTACGGTCTTGTTGCAGACCCGCGTTCGCGGATGGGTGGCCCGCCGCAAGTTCCGTGTTGCGTTGGCCAAGGAACGTCAGCGCAAGTTAGAACTCAAGCGCGCCGCCGAAGCCAAGGCCCGTGCAGATGCGAAAGCAGCAGCGGAAGCGGCCGCAAAGTCAGAAGCTGATCAAAAAGCTCGTGCTGCCGCCGAGAATGCGCTCAAGATCTCTATGATCAACGACGATGAACCTATCGACACCAGCTCCGAAGGCAGCGACGGAGAACGCATGTCTGCAGGATCGCAGAGCATTCTAGCGTCCGCGGCCGCCCGTGTCGCTGAAGCCGAAGCTGCTGCCATGGAAGCCCAGAAGGCTGCCATGGCGGCACTCACGCACAACCGAGTCATCCAAGCCGAGAACGAGGCGCTGCGGGCCAAGATGGCGGCGTATGTCGCCGAACATGCCGATGCTGATCTGTTGCGTGAAAACGAACGGCTCAAGCACCAAGTCCTTACGTTGCAGAGCAAGTTGGTGCGGGCGCAGGAAGTGTCGTTGATCTCGGCCAAAGTAGTGGACAGCCGCATGACGTTCCGCGAAGGCCGGCAGTTTGTCGAGTACAAGCTCCAGATCGAAACCAACAACCGCGGCACGCTGTTCGTGTGGCATCGATACAGCACGTTTCGAAACTTGGCGACGACGCTCCAGACCAAGAACGGATACCGCCGCAAGGACATCCCGGACTTGCCCAACAAGCAACTGTTCAACAACTTTTCCGACAAACTCATTCAGGAGCG